CTCATCACATTATTCATTAAAAGCAACAATTGAATCACCACAAATAGAATTGCATTTATTATCAAGATAATAATACCCTTAATCACATATATCTAAACAATTCTAATGATCACAAATTTGACAGTTTTCTCGACAAGAATACTAACAATTATGACATCCATCATACTAGATATCATTACCATCATCACAAATTTCTAATCCTTCGACAACAATCCCATCTCCACAAATAGGAATGCAATTTTTATCCTTAATTTCAAAATATTCTTGACAAATTGCACATTAAAGATGACCAGAACAAAATATACAATTATATTAACATTCAAATTTACATTCGTAACATCCATCTCCTATATCCAAATTTTAATCATCACATTATTCAGTGGAACCCAAAGCTATTTTGCCATCTCCACATTCATATTCACATTTGAAATCTACTAGATTCCATCCTTTTAAACATTAAAAGCAATATGAATTGTGACATTCTAAACATTCTAGTTAGCACCTGCTACATGTAAAAGAATCATCTAACTAAATTTATAGAGAATTATCAAGAAATTCATCTATTAAATAAATGCCATGATTACAAATAGGTAAGCATTAACCATTAAATGACTTTTCAAATTGATTTATACAAATCTGACATTCATTAAAAACCGAAATAAAACAATTTTCTAGTTCTCTATATTCACATTAATTATATTAATAAGCAAAAATACCATAACTCTAAATCTAGCATCGAATATCATGAGCTTCTAATTTAAAGTTGTTATTGATAATGATATGCTAAAGATATGAGTTTGTCAAAAAATTGGAGATTTGGCAATATTGACCCACTTGGATGGATGTATCATGTTTAAGGAAACTATTCGAATCGCCATATGAGCAAGAAAAATGGCATTATTTATCTATCAATTGATAATGATGGTCGCAGAAGAGACATTAGCCATATTTGCATGAAGCACAATTTAGTGGACAAGAAAATTTACACTTGTAACATCCATCATTAGGCTCCATGTTGCCATCATCACATTCTTCTGAGAATAAAATCAATTGATCTCCACAGACTGGTATACATTCTTAAAAGTTTGTAACAAAATTCCAGCCTGAAAAACATTCTACACACAAATCTCGAATACAATTACTACACCCTACAACACAATTATACTATTAAGAAAAAATCCCTTCGATTCCAAGAATATAATCGGCTTAATGGAGAAGTCTATAATCTTATATTTTATTCTCCTGATACGAAAAAACTTCAAAGTCTCTAATACCAAAGTATGGGGTGTTTACAGATGTTGTAGTAACACTTGGCGTACTAATGGATATAGTCATAAATGTGGAAGTGCAAGGAAATCCTTAAATTTCAACCTTGGTCATTTTTAAATAAGAACCACATTAATAATCATTAAATTTAACAACAGTTAGAGGAGGAGCAAATAAATATAACTAAATATCACCTATTACTTGAATGGTTACAGAAACACTGATTTCCACACATACAAATATGAATGAAAGCTTTAATTTCGTATGAGGATCATTTAAATTTAAATTTATTGATGCCACCTATGTTATTTAAAAATTTCCATAGTATTAAAAACCTAGAGATGCAGATAGAAAAATACCACAATCTACTACATTGTCAAAAAGCGCTTTATCCTTTTCCCATCCTTATCCATTTGCGAATGTAAGAGTTGTAAAATAAGTTTAAACCCTATACCATTTGAGACAAGCTCCAATGGAATCACAATAATCACAAAGTAATGGACATTTCAAGACTTATAATTTAAAATCAGAAATTCCCCAGTATGCTGAATTTTATCTAGAAACTATAAATATTATGGCTGAGTTTCCCGTATGAGGAATTTCTTTGCTGACTTAATCAATCTATCCAAGAGTTCCACTTCCGCAAATCGGGTCTCCTGTAATACTATATGGATCATAAGAGTGTTCTTATTATCCATTAATAAAAAAGATGTAAGATGCGGAAGACCAAGGATCCAATCTAGGTAATAAATGATAAAGATAAAAACCTCCAGAATTTGAATTCAAACTATATCTTATAATGAGGAGGAAGGATATAAGTCTTCGTTATGACAGTTTATGAATTAAAGACAAATCGTCCTCCAAATATGCTAGAAGTTACACAATTAGTCACGTGGTTAGAATTTTCTGCTAGGTATGCTTTCCAGTCTATAATATAAATCTTAATTACTATCATCTGTGCTAAAAGGACTAAAAAAGGATCGGCTGATTTCAGTTTGAGCAAGAACTTCTGAAACAAAACAATTAAGTAAAATGAGATGGATGAATATTTAAAAAATCCACAGCTCCAAGGATCTCTCAAACAAACTTTACAGAATCATTTGTGCCATTTGTTATTAAGTTTAATAAATTAAGTTGTAATGATTAAACAGCAGATTAATTATCAATTTGTTAATTACAGAATAAAAATATCTTATCTGAAATTTAATCAAAAAATAAGCTTCCATTAATATGGGAAAAATTAATTTAATTCCAAAATACTCTCTTAAATAAATTAAAAAATTATGCAGTGTAAATTACTTTAAGATCTGCATTCAATAACCAAAATTATTTTAATTATATTATGTATCAACAAATGCAACCATTCTAGGATCAATGTTTCACTAAGGACAGCAAAATATTTCTGTTTATTCTTTGAATAATCTCTGTATTCTTTAGTATTCATAACTAATTTACTATTTATAATTTCATCCTAAAATTACAAATCCAATTGGCTTTTTAGACCTTTGCTTTCATCGGGCAATTTCATAAACATACTTTAATAAGTTAAATATGCAAATACTAAATTATGGTGAATTATAGGAGAAAATGAAATTATTTGATTAGGCTTTTGAAGATAAATGTTGTAGCCTATCTATTGATAATAAAAATGCTCAAATTTATTAGAAAGGCGAGCCGTGGGTCTCAAAATTAACCAATCAGTTAATGGAGAAAAATAATTATTTGACGAAGCTTTATAAGAATGTATTAAATGTGATTTTAACTTTATATCCTATTATGAGTTGATAGATTTTTCCTATGGAATAAGTTTTGTGGAAAGATTGTCTCTACATCATCAATACAACCTAGTAATTCACTTACATTAACTTTAATATTGAAAGTATATTTGTGAATTGTGAATTCCTTAATATCACAATATAGCGACCCAATTTGTCTAAGGCATAATTATGCATAATTTAGGAGTAATTGAGGTTAATATTTGTAAAGATTTTATTCCTTTTAATACGCCCAATCATGAAATTTAGCAAGTTGTAATATAAGGAGAATAAAGTGAAAATTTTTGCCTGCATAATCTTGAGAATTTTATTTTTCCAAAATCACTTCATAATATTAATAAACACCATGGAGTATATTATAGCGTGGTTTCATGTATTTCAAGCTTATCTTCAAATGCTTAATCGGGAAAATGGAAACTTTCTTATTATCTGCTGAAATGGTACTAAAGCTATTTTTTTTTATAATTTATTTACTAAACTACTTCTTACTAATAGTATTATAGGGTTTGTAAAGAAGCCCTAAAATTAATTCTTAAGATTAGAGAATTGGCTAAATTGCCCTTCTGACTGGATCAATTAAGTTCAAAAACCAAGACAAGATATGCTTAAGTTACAACAAAAACAAAAAAATTCAAGAAACTTCATTATGGTATCAGTAATTAAAGTCGTATCACTAATATTTAAAATATATAAATATACATGTAACTAATGCTCAGCTAACTTCTCTTCATTAAAAAAACAATAAGAATAGCAA